ATATAGCGGTTGATGTTGATTTTCCGCCCTGGAATCCATGTTGTTTGTCAGATAAAATCTTATGCTTCCCAAGGAAACTCCAAAGACGGCCGAGAAAGGCATATTCAAATAACTTTGAAAATACAGATGAAATAGTTATTTATCGGTCTGTAATTTTCTGATAATTTAGAATCATTTTTCTTGTAAATTGGTATGACTTTTCCAATTTGAATAGCACTTGGAAATGAACCTGTTTGAAAAGATAAATTCACCAAATGAGTTAGGGGAGCATCCCTCAAAATGAATCCTGGGATCTCATCTGATCCAGTAGAATTTTTATTATTTATTCTTCTCTTTAAAAGTAAAAGAAGTTCTTTTTTGGAAAACGGTTGCAAGAACATGCTCACCTTATTGAAATCGTTGTTACGCTTGAGATGACTGTTTTTAGGAATATTGTTCAATAGATTAATAGGAGTTTTGATGAAGAATTGGCTGAAGAGAGAAGCTATTTCAGAGGCATCTTCTGTCAATTCTCCGTTATTATTGATTACTATATATATATATATTCTGGTCAGTTTTCCTATACTTGTTCTATAATTCTGAAATAATTTTCCAAGATGAACGCCTAGAATTTGATGAGTTAAATATACGATTTTGAAAGTAACTTTTCCTCTTTTCAATTAGTAGAGATCAATGTTACGTTTACGTAAAAAAACAAACAAGAAGATAAAACGACCCATTGCACATCCTCCCGAGGAGTTGTCCTCCGAGGTCATCGTCCATCCTGTCCTTTCCAGGAAGGTGGACAGGTCACTGGGAGACATATCCTTTATATCGGCAGGTGTAGGCCAAGACTCGCCGAAGACTCTCTTATTGACGATAAATCCGGACACTTGCATACAACATGCCTCATAGTTACATCTTTCTGTTCACTCATCCTGCATAGAGGTGTGTCCACTAGCCCCATATTATTGGGGTGTTTCCTTAATTGGCAGTGGCCTGTCAGAAATCCTACTGTTAGGCGTAGGTTTTTCCTGGTCATCGCCGGATACTTCTTCGGCGCCAGCTTCCCAGGGTCGCCCATGGTGATCCTGGCAAGAATGCATCCTTTGATTTCATTTCATCTCTTCAGGGATTAAGCATGGGTGTGACGTATGGCTAGTTCCGCAATTGTCGAAGTCATCAGGCCGTAAGTGTCACTGGGTCCTAAAATTCTTAGTCCAGCCGCTTCCTTGGCTGAAGATCGGCAACGCGATTACCTTTACTACTGTCGTGCCCTTTAACCCATCTCAGGATAATGTTATTATCTACCGAGTCTTTGGTTAAATCTTGGTGGCACTCTAGTACTAGCCCTGAGGTAACACGTTGTCTGTTACTGCTACTATCAGTGCAGATTGTTATGCTGGTATTTTTTCCCATTCTTCACTTAATCCTCAGGCTCAGTGTTCCGGAGTACACTCCACATCCCGAGCCTTCTTTGGTTTTTAAGCCGTCTGTATATATGCGTATTGTATTTGTAGCATCTGACTCTGAGTTCTGTTTTGTTTGTATTTTGTAGGGTTTATTAAACACAAACCTGGGTTCAATTACATCACTGGTTGCCTGCAGCAGAGGTTGCGCAGTAAACGCTTCTCGCCATAGGCTGAGCTTCAATTAACCCATTCCTACTTCGAGGTTTACACCAGTCGTTCGCAATCGTAACATGGCCATTAACGCAGCCTCCATAACATACAGGTCCTAACCTAACCTAACCTAACCTAACCTAACCTAACCTAACCTAACCTAACCTAACCTAACCTAACCTAACCTAACCTAACCTAACCTAAAAATGATGTACCAAAATGGTTAAAGAACTAGAGAAGCTATTGCACTCGTCGAAAGTGATATTTCCCTATCCTGCCATAAGAAATCAGAACGAAAGTATTTTGTTATTGTTAAATTTACTACCAAACAGCAGAAAGTCAAGCATTATATTGGGAAACTCGTAGCAGACAATGAAGAAAATGCTTACGACATAACTTATTTATGTAAAAGTAGCAAGATAGACAATAATTCGAGCCGGATATAGCGACAGTGGTTTGAAAGATATAGAAGCTGTTTAACCTTTGAAAAACTTTACCAAACGTCATGCTGATTCGTACTTTTTTTCTAAAAATATTTTAAAGAAGTTTAACTCAGAATAAACACTAAGTTTCTTATTACTTTCCTACAATCAGTAGTGTTTCACAGACCGTCCCATGATATGTCACATAGTACCCTAGATATGGGGCTGTCTGTTTTACAATCGACGGATTTCTTGAATGTGCCATTTAAAAGTATCGTTTGTTATATTTGATAAGATTTTTATTTGTTTAATAAGAGTAGAAAAGCTGTTGATTATATTAAGACCAAACAAAAGATATATTATTGAATATATTTGATTTCAGAACACAATTTGTCTTTTTTGTCACACACTTTGCACCACCTTACCCTACGCTTTCTGATCAATTTTTANCTGCGCAGAGGTAGAAATCAATGAGGCTATGTCTTCATTTAGCATCTGCATTGCAGTAATCATGTCCGAAGGGTGGAATGAAAGATGTAATTGTGTATCATCAGCGTATAGGTTTATTTTGGAGTATTTGATTACGTTCACAAAGTTTGAGGTATATAATATAAATAGAAGAGGACCTAAAATCGAGCCTTGTGGAACACCGCGATTTATCTTCAATGGACTGGATACTATATTATCTAGTTTAATTCTTTGCACTCGCTCGCTCAAATAGTTTTCAAAAAGTTGAACCGCGATATTTGACAAACCAATGGATTCGAGGATAGTGAGGAGAATAACGTGATTTATCGTATCGAAAGCTTTCGAAAAATCAAGCATAACAAGTGCTGTAGCTTTTTTATGGTCAAGTGCGCTGAAAACATCATCTGTAATGTTCAAAATTGTCGTTTCACAGCTATGAGATGGGCGGAAGCCCGATTGTGTTTCTGGTAGAAGGTTTTTAGTTGAAACAAATTCAGAAAGTTGGTTGTAAATCACTCTTTCAAATAACTTAGAAACAGTTGGCAGAATGCTAATTGGACGCAAATCTTTGAAGCTTTCTGGATTACTTTTTTTGGAAGAGGTATTACCAGGGCTTCCTTCCAATTTATTATGTGTGTTATGTAAGGTACTATGGTGATTCATCGCATCCGTGGTTACTCAGAAGAAGATAGTAGTGGCGAAAGTAGTATCAACAGTTACAACAATAGATCAGTGATACATTCTTCAGGCAAAACTCTTGGGTTCAATGGGTTGAAAAATATTGGCAACACCTCTTCCATGAACAGTGTAATCCAATATTCATCAAACACGAGATGGTTGCTGGAATATTTAAAGAAGGATGCATATATGGGAGATATCAATAATATTATTTCTAATATGAAAGATGCTTTAATCAAAGCGATCGCAGAAGTTATCAAAGAAGATTCACTTGATAGAGAAATAAACATAGTCTACTTTTGAAGTCAGAATCACAAATTTGCCCCT